GATCTTTTCACTTCCCCTCTTTGTGGAGATCTTTTCACTACTCCACATCTATTTCATGTTCAGTATCACATGTGATTTTCACCAAAATCTTTTTGATTTTTTTAGGTATGAGTTTAGTATACCCATTTCAAAGATGAATAGAATGAGACTTGGAGGGGTTCAGTGACTTGGTCAAAATGATATAGCCAGGAGATGGTGGAAGAAGGGCTACCATCTAGCTTTTGTCAATGGCCTTGTCCAGGTCCCTTTCTTCTTCACTTTGCTAATAACAAGCTAAGATTGACAAAGTACCCATAAGAAAATTGGTCTTTCCCCATGGTCAGAGCAGAATTTAATGACTTGTTTCTTTGTGAGTTGGCAGCAGAGCTGCTAGCATCTCTAAGGGAGCACCATCTCCCAAGAGCTGCAGGGCTCCCATGTCTGCATAAAGTCCCAGACCATCCCTGAGTCAAACTACTGATACTGAAAAAGTCTACTACAGATCTTAATGCTGGGGAATCAGCTTGTGGGTCAAATTCTCTGTGTCATTCACTCATTCATCAGTTCTTTTTCTCTTTCCTGGGGCTAAGCTTAATGGAGGGTAGGAGTGGGCATTGCTAATTCTACTGCCATTCATGCCATAACAATGGCCAGAATTAATCTCTCTCCCACTAGTAACATTTGAACTCTTTGCCTTAATGATTACTGAAAAGTTTCTGTAATAGGATCACATGCTTCCTAGGCTTGGGACTTCAAGGTCAAACCTCATATATAAAGTTCTTGTCTAACTCTCCCCTTTGAGTGCTGGCCATCTTTCTCCATTTCAAATCAGATAGGTTCTAGGATATCCAGTCCAAGACTGCAGTGGAAACATCTCTGGACCTGAAGGAAGGAAGATTTGTCAGACACTAATTGACTGTTTAGCCATGGGTAAGTCACTTGACTTCCTCCCTTTCCTTGTCCATCAAATATGTATAATTACACTTGTGATACTCCTCTCACAGAGTTGTCTTGGGGTTCAAACAAGATCATGTATAGAAACTGTGTTCAAACAGGTGCTCTTTAAACACCAGTGATTATCTTCTACCTGGAGCTTCTCTTGCTCATCATCCTTTAGTAACTGAAGGAGCAACTTGAGGGATGGGCAACTGTAGACTTCTAATGAACCCTTAAAATATGTTGATTAAGGGGATATTGTGAACAGCACCACATTAAATTCTTAAGAGAGAAGATTGAAAACAAAATTTAGATGAGATATGTTCCTTGTCCTCAATGATAACAGATCCCATTTTATAGGATTGAACCATTTGGAAGAGCTTTACATCAGTTTTCTCATTTTAATCTCCCAACAACTCTGTGACATGAATACTATTAACATTATTCCCCTTTCACAGGTAAGTAACTTGAAGTTAAATGACTTAAGTGACATGTCTAAACATATGCAATCAATAAAGATTGAGATGGGATTTTGATCCCCATCTTTCTGACTCAAAGATCTAAGCCCTCTCCACTACAACACATCCCCACACTATTACTTTGTATTATCATAGCACCTCTTTCCTCTTTCCTCTTTCTTCTATGTTTTCATGTTTCTCAGAGCTCCCACTCATCCATGTTCATGTACAAGTCCAATTACTTATGCTGCTCATGGTAACTCTCACGTCTATAGCACTTATTTCTTGGCAAACGTTTCTCTTACATTCACTCCGCATAACCACCATGTCCAAAGAAATATTAATCCCAGTTTTCAAATGAGGAGACAGTGACTCAGAATAATTGATTGACTTTTGTGAAATCACAGAGAAAATTAGTTCAAATCCAAGCAACATAAGTTGAGAAGATTTCAAAGTCCTTCTCCATGCTGGTTGAACTCCTCTGGAGAAATTCTAGTCTATCAATCCAACCTCAGATACTTAGGATGTGACCCCGATCACTTAAGCAGTGTTTGCCTCAATTCCCTCAACTTTAAAATAAAAATACCTACATTGCAAGGTTGTAGTGAGAATCAACTGAGATAATAAAGCACACACTTAGCACAGTCGTTGCACTCAATAAATACTATATAAATGCTTCTTTCCTTCCCTTCACTAGTATCAGTACTAATTCTTATTATCTATACTATGAACTCCCTCTAAAAAATGGCCATTCACTTCTTTAAATTTCAAATAACATTCTCCTGGTCACAGAAAAGAGAAGCAAAATGTAAATTGAGCATCTCTGCCTTTCTTTGTCACTCATTGTACTTGTCCTGTCACTTTTGAACTTGTAAATTGGTCTAATTCTTTATTTTATTAATGTTTGGTCTCCAAATAGCCAACTTTTCAAAAATCCCCAGCTCCTGGTAGTCTTTAGCTATCCGGGTTTCCCTCAGCTCACCCTGAGCTTTGGCACTCCTCTGACTCTCTTACTGTAAGATAGAATCTGCTTTTGCATTCAGCCTGTGTTACCTCTCCTATTTTCTTTACTGCATTTTTCATGTCAAAGTCTATAAAATTGACAATTTTTCTTAATTTATCTTTAAAATTACATTCTTAAGACCTTTTTATATTTTAAGTTTTGAACTCCTTGTAAAATTAACCCATAGGATGCTACTTTATCTTTCCTCTGCAATGCCTGGAAATGAACCTCCACAAATCTAATGTGTTTGTCTGACAAATGCTAGTTTTCCTTTCAGATAATTCAGTTACTTTCTTCTGATTCCCATTTACTTTGATCTTTCCTAACAATTCCTCATGTTTTATGAGAATCAAATGCAGGATAGGATTTTCTCATATTGGTTTCTTCACTTTTGAATTTTTGATGGAAAAAAATATCATTTTCTTTAAAGAATTCATTAGCTGTTCTTTGACAAAAGAGACACAGAGTTGCTAGGTATTTAGATAGATAGATAGATAGATAGATAGATAGATAGATAGATAGATAGATAGATAGATAGATAGATAGATCGATGATAGATAGACAGACAGACAGATAGATAGATAGGTAAAGAAACAAGAAGGCAGAGACAAAGAGAAAAACAGAGACAAGCAAGGAGAGACAGACAGGAAAAAAATACAAAGTCAGAGAGATAGGGAATTACAGAGATTAAAAAAAAACAACAGAATAAGCTAGAACATTCTAGCAGACTCCCACATAGAATTCTCCATCACCTATATCATTTCTGCATGTCAAGTTTATAATGTCTACCAACTTGATGATCTAGTTCTTCTTCCAACATAAATGCTGTATATTAAAAGTGTCCTGCTATGCTGATAACAGTAGAAATGCTTTCCATCATGTTGCCTCATTCTGGTTCCTGGATTTCCTCAGATGAATATATAGTCCATTAAAAAAAAAAGCAGAACAGCTTGCTGTTACTCATCTCTTTTTTTTCAAATAGGGGTGAAATCTTTCCAGAACCATAATTCCGTTATGAGTCCCAGCCCTCTAGTATAAATATTAACTAGGCAAAAGATTTGATTTCTTGTGTTAGAAGTTCTAGATTACCTTGCTTATTAGGCATAATTCCTTGGAGATCCCAATAGTCTGCTAGAGTTATATAACTCTTATCTTTCATTCTTCCTCCTTGTAAAGTTCTTCTCTTTTTTCAATCTTTCATGCCTTTTGGTAGACTTTTGTAGAGGTGATTCCTGGTCAGATGTGAGTTGAGGTAGAACCATCATGATTTAAGATCTCTGATATTGTTTTCTATGATTTTTTCTTCAAAATACAACTTGCTATAGAAAACATATCACAGCCTACTTACAACTTCTGAAAAAAAAACTTTCTTCTAATGCCTCATGGTAGTACAGGTGAAACTAAGTATTCTAAGTCTGGGTTGCTGAAACCTAACTGGCATGTTCTTTCAAGCTGCAAAGGTTTATGGTGGAGTCTGGGGATGAATCATGTATTTGTCTCATGCCCAAAAGCCACCTTAGTTTAGTTCAGAAAGGGAGAGCTATGACTGGCTAATCATTGAGCCCATAAACATTTTAAGTACTTACTATATGCATAGCATCATGCTAAGCATCAAGAATACAAAGAAAGGTAAAATAGAGTTCTTACCCTCAAAGTGCTCACCATCTCTAAACAATATAGAAAGCTGATAAACAAATTGTACTCAGGAATAAATTGGAGATAGTCAAAGGAGGGAAAGCCCTGGAATTGAGTTGGATCAGGAAAGGCCTCCTGTAGGAAGGATTCTAGCTCAGCCATGAAAGAATCTAAACCAAAGATTGAGAATTTCTCTGGGAATCTCAAAACTGTAAATTATGAAAGGATAAAGTGTCTGTGTTTGTGGCCACCTCTGCATCCACAGTGTCAGTGGTAGAGAATTGAAAAGGGGGCAGGCAGTGTGAAGGAAACAGATTTAGAAATCATATATATTGTTATGTGATCTACCAATGACCTTTTTGACAAACAACTCCCCAAATTATGCAACAGGTGTTAACTGATAGCTGTTTTTCCTCAGGAACTGGTAACTGCAGGCCACTGCATAGACATTACAGCCACAATGAAACCCAGACTAAATAAAATCCTAAGAAATCTCAGCCAAATTTCTTTGATCTTTTCCTCTTTTCCCTCTGTCTTTTAACTTTCCTTGTATTTTATTCCTCCCTCTTGTCTTTATTGTTCTTTTCTCTCATTATGAGAGTGAAGGATATTTATAAAAAAGATCTAGTTCTCCAGCCATAAGCAACAATGACCCCTCTTTTTATGCTGATTTTTTGCCAGATGAGAAGACTTTTTTTCCCCTGAATTTGGAAGTGCCACTTTGGAAACTATTAAGTTTGTAATACACAGAAACCAGGTGGGAATTAATACTGGAGAGGAACTCTCCCTCTAGGGGAAGCTGAATCAAAGAATTTGGGGGAGCTGGAGTTACTGTGAGGACAAACCCCTTTATGCTTTTGGTCCCTTATTTCTGCCCCTTCAATAAGATGTGTCTCTGACCATATTTTATGTCTGGGAGTCATTCATCATGCAGACTGGATATTTCTCATGGTTACTCTTTTGTTGCAGGTGAATGGCATCACTCTCAAATGACATGTATGGAGAACAGAACTGAAGTGAATGAGTTCATCCTCATAGGATTAACAGATGCCCCAGAGCTTCAGGTTCCTCTCTTCATAATGTTCTCCTTCATCTACCTCATCACCTTAGTAGGGAACCTGGGAATAGTAGCTCTGATCTCTAGTCAATCCTGCCTCCACACTCCCATGTACTTTTTCCTCAGTAACCTCTCTCTGGTGGATTTTGGCTACTCCTCAGCTATTACTCCCAAGGTGATGGCTGAACTCCTCACAGGGGAGAAGGTCATCTCCTATAATGGATGTGCTACACAGTTGTTCTTCTTTGCAGCCTTTGGTGGTACAGAAAGTTTCCTCTTAGCCTCCATGGCCTATGATCGCCATGCAGCTGTGTGTAAGCCCTTACATTATACCACTACTATGACTTCAACAATGTGTGTATATTTAGCCAGTGGTGCTTACCTCTGTGGCTTTCTGACCTCCTCCATAGTCACAGGACATACTTTTAGCCTTTCCTTTTGTAGGTCCAACATAGTCTATCACTTTTTCTGTGATGTTCCCCCTCTCCTAGTTCTCTCTTGTTCTGATATTCACCTCATTCAATTAGTAGTCTTTATTGTAGGCTCATTCACTGCCTTTTCCCCATTTCTTGTCATCTTTACTTCTTACTTGTTAATCTTCATTACCATCCTGAAGATCCCTTCTGCTATAGGTCGCCAGAAAACTTTCTCCACCTGTGCTTCCCATCTCACAGCAGTGTCCATATTTTATGGGACAATCATCTTCATGTACTTCCAACCAAGTTCAAGCCATTCCATGGACACAGACAAAATGGTGTCAGTGTTCTACACCATGATCATTCCCATGTTGAACCCTCTGGTCTATAGTCTTAGGAACAAAGATGTCAAGAATGCTTTCAGGAAAGCTCTGAAGGGATAGTGACTTCAATTGGATCATCTTTTTTCTTAGAGGGAAAATTAAATCTGTACCTTGCCCACTCTGGGTCCAGCCCCCAAGTCAGTATATTTTTCTTATGTGCAGAGAAGTGGAATCCAAACTTTTTCAAAGTTAATTTTATGTAATAGAAAATGTCATAGATTTGGGCTTAGGAGAGACATGAATTTAAATTGTGTCTGATATACTTTCATGTTATATAACCTTTGGTAAATCACTTAAAGTCTCAGCCTGTTTCCTCATGTTTAAAGGGCATTAATAATATATCCCATTTTATAAGATTGCTATGTGAAATGAATGATCAGTGTTTATGCCTACACACACATACACAAACACACACTTAAGTTCAGTATAGTGATTCTAGTTGCCTTCCTCCTAGAAAAAGGAAGACCAGCTCCATCATTTCTGAACAGGTTAGTACTTGGATAGCAGATTCCTTGAGTTTCTTGGAAGGTGTAGCTTTAATGTTAATGTCATTTTCTTCTTCAGCATTCCCTAAATGAGAGGTGTGTTGTTAAATGCTTAAGAACCAGCTCTCTGGGGAAAAAAATTATCCATGACGTACTTTGAAATTTAATCAACCTTATTATTTCTCCATCACTTCCTAAAGTCTAGATAATCAAAACAATAAATTGAGTCCTGATTTATAGACTTTACTGACTTATATGGTCTAAATATTTCTACTTTATATTCAATGATCTCTTTGTGAGAGCTGGCTCCAGCACACTACTGTAGTATTGCTGCCTTTAGGAAGGAATACAAACCACAGGGTGACCCTTAGGGCTTGGAAAGAACTTTGATACTGTAGGAGAGAAGTATTTCCCTGTAATATCAGCGTAGTATCCTGATGCCAACCTCAATATCTATTGCATTCTAGCTAATAGTTCTTGGGTGCTTTATGTGTTTGTGTATCTCAATAGGGGTTTTTTGTAAGTTTTTTTAAGTACCTTTTGATTTTTCTGTGGGATGACAAAGAATATCTAGTACTTGGTAACTTGAATTATAGGAGCTGGAGAGCCATCTTGACCATACTAGGAGAAACTTAGCAACATACAATAATATTTCTTTTTGAGGGTAAAGTGAAATTAAAAATGGATAACCCTTTTTATTTTAAATTATTTGGAAACTATTGATTGAGAATTATATCTAATCACTAGAATAAATACATGTATATCAAATGTAGACTTAATTGTATAGCTCTAATTTGTAAAATGTGTAAGTCTTAAATTTCTCTATTCCTATGGTCTAAAGTCCAGCCATGAATACTCAAATCTGTGAACTTTTCCTCACCTTGCAAATATATTACTCAACCTGGTCATAGGATGCTTGGCAACCACCAGACTTTCTAGGAGATGTTAGTCAATGCTGTGTTTTCCCTGTTGCCTAGGTTATAGATATTCTTGCTCTCAGTCAAGCCAAGCAAAGGCCATCATTAATATTTGTGTGAACAATACCATTCTTATTTTAGTTTCAATTACTGGACTGCATCTTATATCTTGTGTAACCAACTATAGAAAAGAGCATCTTTGACTGTCAGATGAATCCTTGGCTAATGAGCATTTTCACATCCCTTTTATTTACTATTGTTAGCCCTGCTAATAAATTTATTTATGCTCAAACCTTTGTGCTTTACTTTCTCTTTATTGCAGACATTTATTGTGATGGTAATGAGCTATTAAGAGAGAAAAATCATTTTTTGCAAATCATTTTATTAGGATTATACTTGGTCCATGTGAACCCAGACATTTTTGCAGTGTTTGAAGGACTTTGATATATATTTTGTATTCCTTCCCCCACTTTGAATCCATGCATCTCCCTTTGAGATTTCAATTATTTTGGACTCATATCAACTGGCCTGAGTTACTATTAAGGAGACATGGTTCCTCTGAAAAAATTGCAGTTGGTATTACTGGGATACTAGTATAGTACCAATCAATAGTAGGACTTGGAAGCAAAAATGCTAATGCCATACACAACCATACTGATAAATCTTTTACTCCAAATGAGGTAAGGGGTGATATGGCTATCCTTTTCAGAGTACATTAGAGTATTTTATTCAGTCCTGGGATGCACATTTTGGACGAAGAATGTTTACTGGATATGATTCTACATGAGGAACAGTTAAGGAATTTAATATATTCATCCTGGAGAATGAAAAGTTGTTTGGTTGAGTAAAGTACTTAAAGATGTATCTTGTGGAAGAATGATTAGACATATTCTGCTTGACCTTAGAAGGCAGAATAGAGAGTAATGGCGGGAATGTTTGGAGGCAAATTTTGGCTCAATACAAGGAAAATATTTCTGAACAAATGGTGCAATTCAAAACTGGTAGAAGAATTCTCCTTCACTGTATGTCTTCACGTGGATATGATTGGATATGATTTTCAGCATGGATTAGATTTAAAGACTACTGGGAGCCCTGTGACTCTAAAATTCTGTGTTCCTTCACTCCATCCTTCTCAAGATATCCCCCTGGGTGAGGGGCAAAGCCTATATAGTGAAGTAAAAGGAGTGACTTGCTTGAGTTCTCCCCCAAACCTCTCCAAATATCTGTAAAAATGACTCTAAACAAATTTTATGGCAGCAGAACCCACAAAAAGTCAGATTGAAGCAAATTCCCATTAAACCCAGATGACTGATTGGAAAGGTCTATTGTGCCGGGCAAGGAGAGGAGAACAATTCAGCATCATCCACACAAATACTAGGCTTCAGCAAGTATAGAGCAGGCCTTAGGGAACAGAATCAAGGGAAGCTGTGGCAGTTTCCAGTCTTCTCAACCCACAAACACCAAAGAAAACTTAAAAGGTCAGTAGAAAATATCTGTGGGACTGTGGTGAGAGAGGAGCTCAGTCTGGCCCCAGTCCTGGTGCAGCCCATTATGGCTGATTCTGGAGTCTCAGCCCACAGATGGAGCAGGAATTTAGTTTCTGATTAGAGGGGGATGGCAGGGAGCTTTCTTTGCTGGACTATCTTGCTTTGCCTGTGCTTGGATTTGGGTCTCAGTCCTGGGTGGCAGTCCTTGATCTAGGAGGAGTGCTGGTGTGGTGGAGCTTGTAGTGGTGGTGGAGAGGAAATTCTCCTCACAGTTCCAAGGCAGAAAGGAGTGTATGTGGTCACTCATAGACCAGAGCACAGGCCCAGAACAGAATAAACCCCTCACCCTGAATCACATCACTTTGAAAGAACTGAAAATTTACAGGTCCCTAGAAGTATCTTTGAAAACAGCTGTATAAAACCCCCAAAGCTTGGGACAGTACATTCTCCACACTGGAAACAGATTCCTACCTTAACAAAGAGTTTGTACTTCAAGTAATTGGCCGGGATCGTGAGCAAGCAGCGCAAAAATAGTCAGACTGTTTTATCTTACTTTGATTACAAAGAGGATCAAAACATACAACCTGAAGAAGACAATGAAGGCAAGGCTCCTACATCCAAAGCCTCCAAGAAAAATATGAATTGGTCCCAGGCCATAGAAGGGCTCAAAAAGGATTTTGAGAAGCAAGCAAGAGAAGTAGAGGAAACACTGAGAGTGATGCTAAAGGAGACCCAAAAATACTGAAGAAAAGAACACCTTAAAAAATAGCCTAACCCAAATGGCAAAAGAGGTCCAAAAAGCCAATGAGGAGGAGAATGCCCTTAAAAGCAAAATTGGCCAAATGGAAAAGGAAGTCCAAAAGACTATTGAAGAAAATGCTTCCTTAAAAATTAGAATGGAGAAATTAGAAGATAGGGACAATTTGAGAATCAAGGCACTGTAACACTAATCCAAAGGAATGAAAAAATAGAAGAGAATGTGAAATACATCATTGGAAAAACAACTGATCTGGAAAATACATCCAGGAGAGAGAACTGAAAAATCATTGGACTATCTGAAAGCTATGATCAAAAAAAGAGCCTAGACATCATCTTTCAAGAAATTATCAAGGAAAACTTCCCTGATATTTTAGAACCAGAGGGCAAAATAGAAATTGAAAGAATCCACTGATCACCTCCAGAAAGAGATCCCCAAAAGAAAGCTTCTAGGAATATTGTAGCCAAATTCCAGAATTCCCAGGTCAGGGAGAAAATATTGCAAGCAGCCAGAAGGAAACAATTCAAGTATTGTGGAAACAGAATCTTGATAACACAAGATTTAGGAGCTTCTACATTAAGGGACTGCAGCATATGGAGTATGATATTCCAGAAGACAAAGGAGTTAAGACTACAACCTAGAATCACCTACCCAGCAAAACTGAGTATAATCCTTTAGGGGAAAAAATGGTCATTCATTGAAATAGAGGACTTTCAAGCATTCCTGTGGAAAAGAACAGAGCTGAATAGAAAATTTGACCTTCAAATACAAGACTCTAGTGAAATATGGAAGAGGTAAACAGGAAAGAGAAGCAAGAAAGAGACTTATTAAGGTTGAACTGTTTATATTCCTGCAGGAAAAGATGATATTTTTAACTCATGAGTCCTTTGTCAGTATTAAGGTAATGGGAAGGAAAAAATTATATGTTTTTATAGATAGACAGATAGAGGGTGCAGGGTGAGTTGAAGATGAAGGGATGATATCCAGAAAGTAAAATAAAAGGTTGTGAGAAGATTATACTGGGAGAAGGAGAAAGGGAGAAGTAGAATGAGGTAAAATATCACATGAAACAGACAAGTAAAGACTCTTACAGTGGAGGGGAAATGTAGGAAGTGAGAGGGAATGAATGAATTTTATTCTCATAGAATTTGACTTAAGGAGGGAATAACATACAAAATGGGGCATGAAAATCTATCTTACCCTACAGGAAAATAAGGGGGGAAGGGGACAAGAGAGCAGGGGGTTGATAGAGGGGAGGACACATTGAGGGAGTGGATAATCAAAAGCAAACACTTCTGAGAAGGGACAGGGACAGAAGACAGAATAGAATATATGGGGGGTAGGAGAGGAGGAAGGGAAATATACTTAGTTTTTCACAACAGGACTACTATGGAAGTGTTTTACATGACTGCAC